AATTTCTGGGAGGTGGGGGGTGCGAAGAAATTGAAGAATGCTTATGTCGGGTGAAGTAAAACGTTCTAATTTTGCGGCGAATATTTCAGTCATAATCTGTAGGTCGTACGTGTTCGTTCCTTCGAATTGCGTTAGTGGGGACATTGCTTCTACGTATACCTTGGTCCTCAATTCTTTGATAGTTGTCCACATTCTTTGGGGTTCTTTGTGATGGCGGAGATTGTGTCGGCCCATATTTGAATTTCGTAGTCCTTGAGTGTCTCGGGTCAAGTCTGTCTGTAGTGTTCGCAAATTCGTCAGTTTTGTGAAGTTCGGATTCAGTAGAAAGTCTTTTGAGATTTTCGTTTAAGTCTAATGAGGTGCATTATATTGTCTGGTAGTCGAGGATTTTGAGGGTTTTTGCGGGTGGAGGTTTTACTTCTCTGTATATTTGGAGGTTGAAATGGTCTACGGCTTTGTCGATGTCGGAAGGGTTTGCTCGAGAGTTGTGTTTCTTAATATTTTTTGAAAGTAGTTGTTTGAATTTTGTTCACTCCGTGTCGAAAAGAGGAAAATGTCAGTTTCATATTGTAGGAGGGGGTGTCTTTGGAGAGGAGAATGGGGAGGAGGTCTGATGTGAGTTCGAGTTTAGGTTGGGGTGCGGTAATGTTAATGTTGTGGGAGTGTATACCAAAGTCTAGGATGTCATGTGGGAGTTGTCGTATTAGGTAGGTTGGTTCAAAGGGGGCGGAAAAAATGATATGCGGATTTGTGGATAGGTAGTCATTCAGTTCTTGACTATTAGTAGTCGTGTGTTTGCACCCCCATGTTATACTGATTTCAAGTTTAAGTCTCCAGTTAGTAGCAATATGTCAGTAAGTCGCGATCTTGAGATAGTAGTGGTTTTAAATTGAGGGAGTTATAAATTGAGAATATAGTAATTGGTGCGTGGGGTGTTCCATATTGGCTACGGGTGTTGTCTGTATGGATTGTGGGAGCTGGAGGATGTGGAGTGTGGGGGATGTCTTTTCGAATAAACCTCCAGTTGTGCCGGTCGGTTCGATAGATCAGAAAGTTTTGAAGGGTAAGGTTTTGTCTTGTTCGTAGGCGCGTTTCTTGGATTGCAAGTATTCCGACGCAGTATTCTTAAATGAATTTTTTATGTCATTCAGCTTCCGGGCAAGTCCACCGTTGGTGTTCCAGGAGGTGATGTTGGTGATCTTTTGTCTAGTTGCGAATTTAAAATAAGTCAATGATTTTTGTGGCATTGGAGATGAGTTTTGTCATACTGTCTTCAGTGTCTCTGGCGATGGTGATGGTTGATTGTATAGATGATATTCTTTTTGAGAGGTTACAAGTTTTGAGAAGTGAAGAGTTCTTTTATTTCAGAGAAGTTAGTAGGTGATGTGATGTTAAGCGAGTTGGTGATATTGGCATAGGATTGGCTTTGAGTGGAGTTGATTGGTGGTGATGCAGATGAGTTTTGAATGGGTGGCAATTCATTTTTGGAAAGGAGGGGGTTGTTTTGTTGTGTAGTTTGTGATTGTAGAAGTTGGGTTGTCTTGAGTATGTCTTTAGCTTTTACCAGTATTAGGCATGTCGGTGAGTAGGATGGGTGGTCATTTTGGCATTTCGCACACTTGGAGTAGTTGTCGGGGCACGTCGAAGTATGGTGGTTGTCACTGCACTTCCCGCAGATTGTCTGTGGCAGTAGTGTTTAGTGTGGTATAGTGGTTGTCAGTTGTCGCAGCGTGGGATGTGAGTAATCTAGTTGAAGTCTTGAACTGTCACCTTATGATGTAGTAAGAAGCATAAATTGGTCTTCATGGTAGTAGTCTGTCTTGTTGGTTTCAAGAATGCAAAGTCTCAGTCCCGTGAGGGAGTTGTCAGTGTTCCGTCTTTTTATTTCAGAGATGTGGTGGATTGTCACTTGTTGTCTGGTCAGTTCGTTTTTGATGTTGATGGGTGTGTTGGGAGATAGTCCTTTGTTTACAAGTCTGTCTCATTCTCGGTCATTCGGGGGGGGGGAGGTAGTACAGGTTGGAGGGGAAGACTTTTGGCTTAGACCAGGTGTCAGTTTTTTCAGTGCTTTCAGTAGCTTCCTGTAGTAGTCGGAGTTTCTAGGATGTATAACCAGTTCTCAATTCGTGCTTTTGGTGTAAGAATCCGTCTGGGGTGATCTTTTATGGGTCTTCTAGAAGTATCTGTGGATGTGTCAGTCCGTTGTCAACGTGAAGGGAGTCTACTTTTAATCTTTGTGGTTGTGTGTGTGTGAGAGAGCTGTTTTCTTTCAAGAGGGGTGGGAGGGTCAGCGTCTTCACCAGTCTCCACGACGTCCACGTTTGAGTCTTGGATGGGGAGTTGGTCGAAACTATTAGAGGTTGGGGGAGGAAGTGGAGTCTTGGGGTCAACATGTCTGACATATACGACGTGCTTTGTACATCGTACTTTGTGAAAAATAAATTTCTGGTTTTCGATGTTTTTAGGTTGGACAAAGGCGAGATTGATGTGGGAGTAGTTGAAGAGGCTGCCATCACTCACCCCTTACAGGGAAGGTGGTTGGTAGTGGACTCCGTCGGTGGTCGTGTTGTATCTAGATTTAGATTTAAGTAAATGGGTAAATGCAGTGACAACTTATGTGACTTATGGGGGAGAGGATCATCTGCGCACTTTCCTTCAGTTCCAGAATACATTCCCATCATTTTACCTATAAATACTTAAGGGTGAGTAATAGTTAAAGATAAATAAATAAAAATAAAATTAAAAAAAGCGCGAGATTAGGGACATTTGTAAAACATTTTCGACATTTAGACATTCGGACTTTCGTCCCCAAGTTATAGAAAACTTATTTGCATCAATAAACGAACTGCAAGTTTGATTTTTCTGCATTGCTAACAAAATAGTAATTCGCCCTTACCTCTACTCTTACCACTACAAGCAAGAAGAGAGTTCAACAAAACGTGCGCATTGTGAAACTACATTTACGTACAGAAGCAAAACAAGGCGCCAATGTATCAGAGAAATCCGTCTGGGAATGTATCAGGAATTTGCTCAATGTATCAAGGAAACTGGACAAAAACTTGATCGAGATAATATCCAGGGGTCGCGTTGCAGGTCTTGCCCGTGGTCGTCCCTTTGCGGTCTTCGTCAGTTGCCTCGCGTTTGGCTGCAGTGGAGGCGGTTGGCGCAGCGTCCTCCGCAGATCGGTTCTTCTCCCTCTGGTCGGAGTTGAAGTAGAGCCGTCGTCCTTCCTCGGGGGAGGCGGGGGGCGTCAGGCCGTAGCGGCATGTTGCACGCCCCTTCCATGGCGACGGTTTCTCGTCACAAGACGGCTGTGTCAATCAGAGAATCAGCGGATACGAAAAACACTTGGTAAACTGTGGTCTGGCTGGCTTACGTGACTGACGTGCTCTGGCTGTGCTCCAATATTTTACTTAATTTCTAGTACTTTTCTGTATCTTTCACGTACCTTTTGTTGGTAAATTGTTTTCTTTACTTAGAAACTTTAATATACGGAAACAGCCATTTTTTTCTTTTCTTAAAGATGTTGCTTCATCAATGGACCAAAATGAAGAACCCATTGGAATATTTTTAGATCTTTCTAAAGCTTTTGACGTTATTGACCATAACATCGTGCTATCAAAATTACCTTCTTATGGAATTCGTGGAATCGCCCTAGATTGGATAACCTTGTACCTTAAACATCGATCTCAAAGAGTAGAAATACTGTACCGACACGAAAGGACATTATTTACTTATCTTTCCAATTCTTTACCAATTGAATTTGGGGTTCTAATTCTAATTCTATATCTACAGCCAGCGACTTTCCCACGAGCACCGAAGTTGTAGCAGTGTTGTGCTAGGGTACAACTCACGGAATTCGTAGAACGGTGCAAGAACTCTCGCATGTTAATTCCCACCCTTTCCCTATCCTTTCCATTAAGAAAGAAAGTTGTTAATGAAACGCGATTATTTGTTTCAAAATGTATAAATATAACTTAGTACCTATAGAATATCAAGCAAAAATAAAAACCATGCAATTGACGTTGAAAACAAATTTTCAATAAAGATTTATTCAGTATTATAGGGATACGTTCTTCGAACAATTAATACTTCCTTAAAACATTTGAAGTAATTATTCAATCTTCTTGGACAGTTAGCTTTTCGCTTTCTTTGACAGTCACAAAAATATTAAGAAATTTAAATTTCTTATTTAGAAAATATTTTTACTGGCCAAGTAGTAAGTAGTTTTCCGTGAGAAAATTCGGGCTCGGGCAAGTGCAACCCTACTCTTTGTTGGATATTATTTAACTATGCTGGATTTGTCATAAGGATCAGAGGGGGTTTTAGAGGGGCATAAGCTGCTGAAGCGCTCGATGTCTCATTATGACCGTTAAGGAACCGTCTATACGATATGGGTACCAACTTTGAAAACCATATTGCCCAACCCTTGTAACCTTGCAACCCTTGTATTCTTACTTTCTGGATGTACCGCGTATAGCGTTTTTCGAAATGTGTCGCTTCAGCTGACTGGCTGAGCGGTCACAGTACATTGCTTTATTTAGGTACCTAATTTTGAAGAAAATATTCCATATCTATAGGAACAACGTAGTTTTGCCACATTCTATGCAAGCATGCGGCTAGTGCAGGCACTAGCGTTGACTACTGACACGTTTTGCCTTCAAATTTCTATATCGAGGACCTACAAAACATGAATTCTAAGTATACAACGCTATAAAGGTAATTTGTTGCTTATGGAAACAGTTTATCCAATGATTCGTTACGAGGGCTTCGTTAGGTTTTTGTTAACAGATCATTTTACCCGGTGCATAAGAATACTTATTCTACACCTACTAAGCAGTACGTGAGGAAGTAGCTATTACAGATTCAAAGACGAGGAAACATACTAGTACCAGAAAAAATGTGCCATTCTGTAGAACTACTAGATTGAAAGTACCTATATTGAAAGTATTGGTCATGTAATTTCGACGCAATAATTCGTGTTTTTTTATCACTTACAGAGTGATTTCTTTGGTACAATGGCAGATCAACGACATAATGAAAGTCAGGCCAATTTGACCGAGGCGCTTGCCCGTTTTAATCTAATGGAATCCAGAGTGACTCTCCTGGAGGAATCGGTTGGCAGAGCAGTTGGGACTCTGATGCCGAAAGTGGATTCCTTGTTGTCTGTAGGGACAGTAGATATCTCATCCGAATCCGGATCTTCTTCAAATTCTACCACACTTCCCACGTCTCTACTTCATTTGGCTGAACAAGGAGATGGAGAAGCTCTGCTGCAGTTCCTGGCAGATGAGCTAGTTCATATTCAAAGTTCTTTAGGGCGTACCAAGGATGGGGATACTGCGCTGCATGTGGCTGCAAGTGGAGGACACGTGAAAGCCGTGGTGGTTCTTCTGGGCATAGGGGCGAAGGTCAACGCTTCCGGCCACCGGCTGCGCACGCCGCTGCACTGCGCCGCCGCCCACGGCCACCTGGCGGTCGCCCAGCGCCTCCTGTTGGCCGGGGCGCAGGTCGACGCCAAAGACGCGGACGGCCACACGCCCCTAGGCCTCGCCGCAGGGCAGGGCAACAAGAACCTGGTGGTGCTGCTTCTGCAGAAGGGAGCGAAACCAAATGGGAAAGACGTTTCCGTGGCTGGAGGAAATGGTTATTGGGATTTAGTGGAATTGTTTCTGCAAAACGGACAATCTTTCGTTGATTCGTGTAATGAAGAGGGAGATCCTTTAATTGTGCTGGCTGCAAAAGCCAACCGTTGGGAAATAATACAAATGCTGTTGGAGAAAGGGGCGTCTGCAACGAAGTGCAGAGACGTAAAAGAGAGCGCGTTGGTGTTGGCGTCGCAGACCGGTCAGGCAGGCGCCGTGCGAGAGCTGTTACGCAATGGAGCCACGGAGAATGCTGAACAGATAAAATGGGCGCTTACGAAGCCCAAGAGCGCCGCGGTGGTGTGGGCCTTCGTGAATATGGTGCCACACGAAGTGCGAGGAAGGTCTGGACATTTTGGCTTGTTACAAGCTGCGTGTGGCGGGCGTTTGGAGCCTCTGGTGGCATTTCTGGACGCGGGCGTCAATATTAACGCAACAGATAACTACAGTGGCTCTGCTCTCTACTTTGCAGCCGATCGCGGACACCAAGAATGCGTGAGGGAGCTTGTGCAACGAGGAGCAAATGTCAATCGGAAGCATAGTACAGGATTCACGCCTCTCCATAGAGCTTCTTTGAACGGCCACGTGGAGTGCGTGCGCGCTCTGTTGGAAGCCGGAGCAAGCACCACAGAAAGGAACAATGAGGGAAAGACTCCCCTTGAAGTTGCTGGTTCGGATAACGTGCGCATGGCCTTAACTGAGGGCAGTGAGTGACCTCTACATACATTTATACGAAGAACAAATTACGAATGTCAAGCATACTCAACATTGTGGATTAGTGCGTTGGCCATATGATGAAATTGTATGGCCAAATCTTATATCTTGATTAATCGACCTGTGGTATTCAACTGATGCGCCACATGAGAGACTTGAATGGAAGAGGCATACAGGAGATATTGCATTCCGTAATATGTTCATTATATTGCTCTGTTGTCGGTCCATTTAAACATTTGTCGGTACAATGAGTAATGTGGGTTGTGTTGGTTATATTGTAAACTTACTGCACGTTGTATATAATCTGTTAAAAATAAATTGTGGAATATTTTATTACAATACTTTCTTAATATAATAAAAAATCCTATTAAGTATTGTTTATAATATTTCATTTTGTATCAATCATTTAAATTGGGATAATTTTTTAATTATTTCTACGGTCAAAGAAAAGGGGCATAGCACATTGAAAAATTTGAAAGAGTGAACAAATAGTACGTTTCAGTTAAGAAAAATGTTGAAATGTAGAAATAAATGAATTACTTTCAAACAATGTGGCATTATTTAATATTACAGAATATACAAACGTGTATTAAGGAACGTACTAACTACGAAATATTAAAAACAGTAATCCCTTGTTAACACGTATACCAAGAGACCGTAAAACCAAGAGTTCTTTTTACAAAAATCGTGCTAACAGAGAAACCAAATTTTATATTTGGAAAACTTTTATCTACACACTGGTCATTTACATTATATAGGTACATACGTGCCTATATACTATTGTGGTCTATATACGACAATATATTATGCATCTCGTCATATAAACACTGTAGTATACAATTCTACATCGACAGTATCTCCATGTACAGTACATAAATCCTAAATCAGTTTGTGACAGTTGCGCAAAAAATGCACACAAGAAGGAAGTATCTGTCCTTAACGGAAAAAAATGTACTCACAACATATTTAGTTAAAAATTGCTGTTTATTGGTCTGTCGCAGATGGGAACGAGCATGTCTGGTAATTTAACGGCCGACTGTACCTTCGTAAAACTACCAGTCAATTCGATTGTTGGGGAAACCCGTTCTAAATGTTCAAAGCGTGTAAATACTTCCTGGCGAGGTGTCGGAATAGCATTGTCCTCTTCACTTTCTTCTGATGACTTTTCTTGTAACTTAAACACAACTGCCTGAACATCAGACTTCACTGTAACACACCAGGCAACATAGTCACGGACACTAAAAAAACTCCTCAAAACTAACTCCAGGCTTCGAAACGTCGTGTAGGATATTCCATTCGTCAGGTGAAGTAACGTTACCATCTAACTCGTCATCAGGATTAGCGTCTGAATGTTTTCAGGATCTGTTAAAACACTTACGTATGTAATTTACCATACACATTCCCTGGATGCGGCGATAGGTTTCATTGCCAAGTTGTCGCACCCACCTCTTTTTCAGCAATACAAATTGCAGCTTTCACAAGTGGTTTACGGTGTTAGATCTCGCTGTATTTAACATATTAATTCTACATTTAATGTTATTGCACACTGTGACCACGAGTCGGGTACATTTCACATTTTATATTTCATACAACGTTCTATGCCTTTCCAACATCGCGTCGCCCGGCTGGCCGTGGGACTTTGGACGCTCTCAATCTCAGGCGGCCAGCCGAAGCCGCAGTCCGTCGGGCTCTGGCCACGCCGTAGATTGGTCGGGCTTTGACGCTGCCCCGTGCTACAAGCTTTTGTGCGTTGCTCCAAAAAAATTCACGTATATAATCCAGTTAATATGTGGAAACCGGTGGACTTTCCTGTGTCGTAATGTATTATAACACACATTATGCCTAGCTCATCCTAATTACAAATGTGTAATTGTGTGCTCTCACCATACACTGTTGTTACAACGCGTACCGTAAGTGTGGTTGCGTCATGCAGCAAGGCAGTCTCCGACACGTGAGTCCATGCTTCCAACATAAATTGTTTACACATGTGCTGCACGTGATTACTTCACTGGCAGGAACAATCGCATACCTATTATGCAACAATGCCCGCTTCCGCGGCTTTCCAAGTAACTTTCTGTAATTGCCACTACCACTCTCTGTAATTGCCACGGTAATTGCGGCGGCGATGGTGTAACGGTTAGCGTACTGGACTGTTGTACCCAAGTTGGCGGGTTCAAACCCGATCGAAACCGTGGATTTTTAAGGGCGAAAAAATCCATCGTACGCCTTCCTTCGGAGGGGAAGTAAAGCCGGCTGTCCCATGTTCGTAGATTTACTTGCATGTAAAAGATCCTCACGCCTAAATGACACCTCTGAGCTTAATTCAAATCGCCTGTTTCTCGCCCAAGAAATACCTCCTTTCTCTCCTAGTTGGTGAAAGGAGCGTAGCGAAATTTGCGTGGTCAGACGGAAGAGCGGGCCTGATGGCCCGAGTCTCGCCACGTAAAAGAAGGCAAATTCAATTCAATGATTCATGGCACTCCCGAACTTGAGGTGCCACAGCGTGCTTGCCAATACAATTACTAACCGTAATTAGTGCGACATGTTAACTATCACTGCACTGCCATATTTCATGAACGACAATGATGGCCATTCGTTAAACGCTGTGGTATTGGAAATGTGCTACCCTCCTACGTCGCGGTAACAAGAACGCGGGCGCCGTGACCGCGAGCGTCTGCGTGTGACCAGTTTCCAATCCGCTCTGCAGGCGGACGACCTCAAGCGCCTTAAGCCTGTTTTACACGATCATTTTTTTCATTATTTTTCGCCGGTACAGAAAGATACAGACCAGACTGGATGTAATTTGAACGAAAAAATGACGCATGCTTAAGACTTCATCCAATTTGGCTACCGCGCTCCTGGGACACTCTCTGGTTTCTTATGCGTGCGAAGCGATATGTTCATTTTCTAGTTGCGTGAGCGTTTTGATGTGTTGAATTGTAATCTGAAGTGGTGAAGTACTGAGAAATAAATTATGGACTGTATTCTAATATTGTTGCATCCGTGCTCGGTCCAAATATAACCTAACTTAATTTGTTACCACAGATGCGATGTTCAAATGTTTGAACTTCAGCGCTATATGCGGCATCCGGAGGAAGTATTTTCATGATTACGTACAAAGACAGAAATGACTGTGTAAAACGCTGGAATCACTGTCATTCAGTTTCGGCACCGAAACATACTGCGTAGAAACGAACATCCTTTTTCCATCCAGAAAAATGATGAAAAAATGACCGTGTAAAACAAGCTTTACGCGTGCAATCAATCTTCAAGCATTTACAGTATCACAGTTTCGTTTGTATATAGTGTACCATGTTTTCTCATTTCAGCGCCAATATGTTATGTTGGGTTGTAAGTTAAGTTTCATTCTAAACGTTTCAGTCTAAATTAGTGCAACAACTTTAATTAGTTTTAACTGCACATGCGTTCAGCCACTACAATCATTTCAGCACCAATATGTTGTCTTGTGCTTTCAATTTTATTCTAAATGTTAATGTACTGTTATAGCACCACTATAATGTTCTAATTCTTCGTAAATGCTTTTTCCATTTGGTACATACAATATACATATTTATATTTGATTTATATGGGAAAGTTTTTTGTTAGTGTTTCGTAAATGATTTTTCCAAAAGTAAAGTGTTTGATTTTTGATTAGATTTATTATTTGACTGTTAAAATTTGCTTGCGGTTCATCGCCTCAGAATGTGGTACAAATAACCAAAAATTGTTCATTTCTTCTGTCTTAAGCATAAGCCCAGAAGCTTGCGAGCTTTTAAGCTAACGTGTTACGTGTTATACTTGTGCGAACGCTTTGTGAAATGAGTCCGCTTGTGGACGTAGTCGTAACTTTTATGTTAACGCCATGCTTATGTTCACGTTCGCATTATGAATGGGCCTTGAGGCAGCGCACTTGAGCGGCGGCGGCGCCAACTGGACACGCGCTAACGGCGCGCAGGCGGAGAGCGAGTCTGGGCCGACGGCGGCGCCCAGTGTAAAGAGGCAGTCAATAGTCAACCCCAGCCCGCGAGTCAGGCAGTCTGCTGGAGTCAACACCAGCCAGGAGGGAGTCGAGCAGTCCGTCCGCAGTCAACACGGGAGTCGAGAAGGTCAGCGTGCGGCCGAGAGACGACTCCGTGGCGGCGAACGAGCAGGTCGCTCGCTCTTCTGGAGGCGCAACCCCAGGGGACCGCGGTCCGTGCCGGCGCAGCACAGACACGCACGCAGGGCGCATTCGCGCTACAAGCACTCTCCATAGTGGGAGCTGAACATCGTTGACTCCGAAGATTTCTTATGGTAAAGTTTCATGTTTGGTGAATAAAGAGTGTTTGAGTTGTCGTACCTCTTTCACTCGTGGAACACATCAGAGACAATCAGACTCTTTCAAAAATCTTATGAAAATTCTAAACTACATTCAAGAAGGAAAATATTGACTACTTTAAGAATTTTTGTCC